AGAAGCTCCTGGCTTCGGGTTGGCTCAGCTCCAGCCGTTGTGGCCATTTGAAGAATGAACCAGCAGGTGGAAGATTTGTCCCTCCCTTCCTCCTTCCGTCCCTCCTTCCTTCCTTCCTTCCTTCCTCTCTCTCTCTTTTTCTCTTTTTTTTTGTTCCCATCTGTAAATCTGCCTTTTCAATAAAATCTAAATAAATAACTCTTTTAAAAAAGAAATAAAGGGGCCCGGCGCGGTGGCACAGTGGTTAAGGTCCTTGCCTTGCACGCCCGGGATCCCATATGGGCGCCGGTTCTAATCCCGACAGCCCCGCTTCCCTTCCAGCTCCCTGCCTGTGGCCCGGGAAAGCAGTCGAGGATGGCCCAAAGCTTTGGGACCCTGTGCCTGTGTGGGAGACCCGGAAGAAGTTCCTGGATCCTGGCTTTGGATCGGCATAGCATCAGCCATTGTGGTCACTTGGGGAATGAATCATCGAATGGAAGATCTTCCTCTGTCTCTCCTCTCTGTATATCTGACTTTCCAATAAATAAATAAATCTTAGAAAGAAAGAAAGAAAGAAAGAAAGGAAGGAAGGAAGGAAGGAAGGAAGGAAGGAAGGAAGGAAGGAAGGAAGGAAGGAAGGAAGGAAGGAAGGAAGGAAGGAAGGAAGGAAGGAAGGAAGGAAGGAAGGAAGGAAGGAAGAAAGAAAGAAAGAAAGAAAGAAAGAAAGAAAGAAAGATGCCTACATGGAGTGAGATCTGTTACAGGATGCTTGGCTGGGATGAGGGGTCACTTGCATCTCATCCCAGCAGGGCCCCTTTGCAGAAATCCTTGGTGATCTTTGCCATCAATGGCAGCCAGATTGACACAAGTAGGAGCTTTGGGGTGCAATTCTTGTCCCCAGCCTTTGGTCGGCTGCTTTGGGGTTGCAGTATGGAAAAAAACAGATGGAATCTCCAGGGACCAAAGAAATCCTGGGAAAATCTTAAAGGCAGTGCAGATCAGTATATGGTACCTGGTTGGCCTCACTCACTGTCTGTGGAGGTTGAGTGAAAGGGGCAGGTGCTGTCCTCCGGCGTCCTGTGACTTAAGTCACTTTGCCACTTGGAAATAAACTCTGGAGTAGCTCTATGTCACTGCCTGCTCAGTGAGCCTTAGGCAACGAGAGGCCCATGTATGCTCATTCAGTGGAGCCCACGTCCTGAGCATTCGGTTCATAGCTTCTGCCCCAGCCCCATGCCCAGCTGCTGTCTTTTTCCCAGGGGTCTGCTTTTCTCTGTTTCTCTTCTGAGCTGGAGCTTGCCACCCTCAGCTTATCTTTGAGTTTGCTAGTTTTTTTTCCCCGGGATAAAGTTAATTTTGTAATATGCTTATTTTCCTGTTTTTTTTTTTTTGAAGTAACCATTTACAGTGTATGTAAGTGCATCGTGGTATTTATTTATTTTTTATAAAATAAACATTAGGACTGTAAATAGCAGCAGATTGCTCAAGCCCTCTGTGATAACTGGTGTTAACTTCTGTTTGTTTTTATCTTAGTAGTCTTCCCAAGGCATGTGTACTTTACCTCGATGAAATTAAAGTGCACAGCTGATTTTTACATTCTGCTTATAAAACCCTAAACTCTGTCATGTGAACTATGAAGTAAGAGCCACTAAAAGGCATGGATTGATAAAGCTGTTTAAGAAGCTTTACCTACCTTCTTATAAGAGGGGGAAATGCTAGAATTCCAAGTAGAAAAATAGCAAGAAACGGGAGCAGATTTTCCATGGGGGAAATAAAAGCAACTCATGGAATCAGTGTCACCACTGCAGATTGTTGCAGGAAGATTGTTTCTTCCGATTCTGATTATATCAGTATGTAAAAAAATGATCCTGTTATTTGTTGATAGGATAAATGTGAACTGGGGTAAATGTTCTGGAAAACAGTTTGGTAATATGTGTCAGGAGCTACAGATTTAATTGCTAATTAAACTTCTTCCCTTGGTGAACATCTTTTGTCCTTTCTGTCTTGAGTGGTTATAGTTTTTCTTTTATTCTGTTATGTTGCACATTTGCAACAATAAAGAGAATGTTTGGCTCCTACTTAACAGAGTCTTTTTAAAAAGTCTGTTCATTCTTACTTATTTGAAAGACTGTTTAAGAGAAAGGAGAGGGAGAAAATGATCTTCCAAATACTGGCTGGCTCCCAAGCTGCCTGCAGCAGTTCTGGACCAAGCCAAAGCCAGGAGCTGGGAATTGCATCCTGGTCTCCCATGGGAGGCAGGAACTTGGTACAGAAGCCATCACCCGCTGCTTCCCAGGTGCATCAGCAGTGCACTGCATCAGCAGAGGTAGCTGTGGGTCTGGATCCCAGGCACTCTATTGGAGGATGTGGGAGTCCCAGGAGGTAGCTGGACCTGCTGTGCCACAGCACCCATCTCTACACATCCCTTTTTCATGATTCACTGCTTTTATTTGTTTTCAAGGGCTCTGTGTGTGTGTGTGTGTGTGTTTATACATATGTATGTATGTGGTGTATGTGGTTTTCTTGGTGATCTGCCCATTTGTGATTCTTTTGTGGCCCCTAGCTTTGGAAAGTTATCCTCATGTGAGAGGTCCTATGAATGTTCGAGTCTGCTTTTCTGTTTGATTAAAAAATATTTAAAGCATAATTCTAATTGTAATGCTTAGCTTGGTCAAAGTCTCTCTTTTGTTCTCTGCCAAATTAAGCTGTCTTTCTGACATCTGTTAATTAATCTCTTCCTTCCCTAATGTGTTTGTGAGGCCATCTTCAGCACTTATGCAATGATGACATTTCACTTCTGGACTATGCGTGTTCTGTGGTCTATTTTCTTTTTCCCTGTTTTAATTATCATAGCTTGGTAGTACTGGTTATAACCTCAACTTCTTTTTGTAAAAGATCTCGATTGCTTATTTCCCTGATTGAACTTTAAAGCCATTTAATCCAGCTAGAAAAAAAATCTTTCAGAAATTTGAGTGGGAATTACATTAAGCAGCGTATAAGCTCATTTCTTTGAAAACACCAACATCATTTCAATGTTTTGGCCTGTTGAGCATTTGTAGATCTTCACATACAAGCCTATTTTTAACCTCTATACATTTCCCTCCATTCCCACATTGGTCTGATCTTTTCCTGTTGAGATTTGTCTCTGTATGTTCTGTTGTCATTGCTATTCAGATTAGGATCTTTGGAAAGAGCACGCTATGGTGGCATATGGGAATACCATTGGTTTTGCATACTAACAAACCCGAGGCGCTGCTTTGCTTACAGCTCTGCTTGTGGCCTTGCTCTTTGAACAGCTGGCTTCCAGGGCTCCGTGACTGTCTCCTCAGCCTGCTCTACAGGCAAGAAGGGAGCTGTGGCTTGGTGTCAGGCAACGCAGGCTGGGGCTGCCTGTCTTGCTGCCCATGGCCCATGGTTGGGGGCGTGAGGACTCTTGCTGCTGGAGTCCTAGTAGAGGAGCCTTGAGGACCCTTGGTTATCTGGATGTCTGCCTTTTTCCCCACCTGCTGTTTCTGTACACTGTGCCACAGAGGACACTAGTGTGCCTTCCGGTGCCCCAGCCTACTGAAACACTTATGGCACTGTACTCTGGGGAAGGCGAGGCAGAGACACAGGGTAAGGAGGTCCCATTCATGTCTGTGAGACTCATGGGCTGGCCATCAGTGAAAGCTTCATGGGGAGGTGACACTGGAGTTGGGTCTGTGAGATAGATAAGGGCTTCAGTTAAGATCATTGCCACTTACTGGGTGTTATAGGAATAGGCTCTTTAGCAATGATATCTTATTGCTAGAATATGGGAATATTATTGAATTTTGTCTGTTTTTTGAGAGTGAGCTGCAGAGACTTGGGGTCCTGGGAGTTCACTAGTCTGTTTGGAGAAAAGGTCAAGAGTTTGCTGAGAGAGATTTGCTGGGGTTTAAGGACAGGGAGTGACCCAGGTGCTTGTGGAAGAAGTGGGGTGGGAGCTGGCCTGGCAGCACCGAAAAGACTGGGCAGAGTGGACAGGAGAGGGTGGAGGGAGGGGGAGGGAAGAGGCCCTATTTGTAGCATTCCTCCTGTGCATCTGCCAGGTGCTTTGTTAGTCATGGTGAATTTATTACTTTTCATTTTCCTGTCCTCTTGGTAGATTATGAGAGTCCCATTTTCCAGATGGGAAACCAGAAGCTCAGAGAACTTAGGTAATTGAGATGAGTTGAACAGTCTAATTTCTGCTGCCACAGTCTCCCTGCTATATATTTTAAATATTAATATTATATTAAATATTAAATTTAAATATTAAATATATATTTATTTAATAAGTATATTAAATAAATGTATGTGAGTCAATGCATTTGTTTGGGATGCAATAGTTTACATCTATTTAGGTCTATAACTCAGTGGTTTCAGTACACTATTCGCGGAGGTGTACACCTGTCACCACAATCTAGTTTTAGAATCCCATCTGCCCTTGTCTCCTCTCATAGGCTGTGGTGAATTGTGTCACTGTGGACAAGGGCTTTTGGGCAGGTGCCTGGGGTGGGGGTGCTGGGTGGCATGCAGCATTATTTAAGTCACAGTGTCTGCATAGTGACTTCTCCACCATGCCTTGCACTAGGGTTGCCTTCAGCGTGCTAGGCCTAGGACAGTCACACCACAAAGCCGTGTGGATGGTGTGGTTTCAAAGAAGCAGGCTGTCTTAGAGAAAGTACTCTGTGGCCTGTAGCCTTGCTGTACGGTCTCTGATGAGCTCCAAGAGCCTCAGCACCATAAGCTCCAATTGTTCTCACACTGGCAAGTTCCGTGCTCTATGCCCTGGCTGGTAGTAATAGGCGAGGTACTAGAAGAAATCCTCAGATTCAGCTGCAAGGGAGCCATAGGGACCAAGTATTGCCAAAAGAGGGTGGGCCAGCAGGGTCTGAAGCCTGGTACAGGGCCAGCAGGCAGGAGAGTGAGGAAGCTGAGGGAGAGATGGGGCTGGGGCGTCCAGGGTGCTGGGTAGCTGAGCAGCCTAACTCTGCTCTCCCTGTGTCCTCGACCCGCAGACCTGGCGGAGTGCAAGCTGGTTTCCTTCCCCATTGGCATCTACAAGGTCCTACGGAATGTCTCTGACCAGATCCACCTGATTACGCTGGCCAACAACGAACTCAAGTCCCTCACCAGCAAGTTCATGACCACCTTCAGTCAACTCCGAGGTAGGCCCTGGTCAGTTCACACATTGAGGACATGACCGTTTCTCCCCTTTCAGGCTCGGACCCTGAGGATTGCTGCCCCTACCCCAGGGTCGGTCCCCAGACAGCTGGACCCAGGAAGTCTTTTCCCGGGCAGATTCTAGACATAGACCCTTGTTCTCTTTGGAGCCTGGAAACCTCTAGGTCACTTTTGCCTCCAGGCAGCTGTTCAAGGGCCAAAGCATGGGTCATGGGGTTACTCCCCTATTCTGGACAAGTTGGTGGGGTGTCTAGCCCTTGAGGCCTGGGAGTAGTCATTCAAGCCAGCCTGCTTCTGACCCCTCTAGTCCAGCATTGTTTCCTGATGCAGTGCCAGGTGCCAAGAATGTTGGCATTTTCTCTCTGGGTACACATAGAGTAAGTGAATGGGGGTGTGAGTTGGTGGACAGCCAGCGAGTGGGTGCTGCAAAGTCCCTGAAATGGCTCCCCTGGATGGATGGGCAGGTGTACTTATAGAAGCTCCTCTGTCCTTGCAAGAGGTACCTGCTGCTCAGTCACCCATGGTGGGGTAGCAACCTGGGTGCTTATGTTTTACAGCCTGGTGAGATGGGTAGAACTGGGAGGGCACAGGACGCTCTGGGAGGCCACACCTCTGGTCTTTGGTTAAAATGAGAGGCAGCTGAACAGGAATGGCTGGTGTGGGCCTGTGTCCTGGCCTTTGTTAAACCTGTACTGTTGTTCAAGTGCCAAGAATGAGAACCAGAGGTCAAGGGTTATCAGTATCAGTGCATAAGATACCAGCAGTTGCAAATGAGTAAGGTTGGGTACAGTAGGTAGTGGTGAGGACTGTAGCAGACCAGTGCATGCCCTGCTTGGCTTCAGCCGTTGTGCTTCCTGGGAGTACTGGACCAGTGTTACCCATTCTTGTGATAACTTAGTAGAAGCTGAAAACACTCATTTGCACTTGTACTGTCCCAGGTTATATATTAAATGAAGGACAATAAAGCATTTGCAAGTTAGAGTTAGCCCATTGGCTATCAGTTAGGAGAATCTCCTGTAAGATACTAACTCTGCCCCCACCATTCATGTCAAGGATGGAGAAGGCAAGTCAGAGAGGGGTTTGTCCAGGGTCTCAGAAGAGCAGCGTAATGAGGATGGAGATCCTGGTCGTCCAGCTGCCAAGCCACCTTCACAGCTTGGGAACTTGCAGGGCCAGCAGCCAGCAGTTGAGGCTGAGTGTGTGTATTCCAGAGGAAGACCAGAGCAGGCAGTGAAAGTGGACGGACATGAGCAGGCAGGGGTACCTTCTTGGTTTGCACTTTCCTCCATCACACCTTGCTTGAGTGCTAACTGTCTTCCTGGTGTCTGGACACCAGGACATAGAAGCCCAGCAAAGCAGAGGTCTCCTGGCCATGGGTACTGTGATGCTGGTGTGCATAAGTTCCAGAAATGTTCCTGCTGTGGCAGGGGCTGCCTGGAAGGGGCAGGAATCCTCTTGCAGGTGGCCTGGGCAGAGAAGCTGGGGCTGTCCAGGGACTTGGTTTTGAAGGCATGGCTTGTGGGATGAATAAGAGGCTCTGTCCAGCAGGCAGGACTACAAGTGCCTGGAGACACCTCGGAGAGTGCTGGGCACCCTGCTCATGGCATTCTCTGCTTTTATCTGTGCTGTTTGAACTCCCACCAGCCAGGGCCCCTGGCTTCCCTCATACTGCCTCAGAAGGAAGACCAGTGCACCTGCTAATTAGATTTCCTGCAGTGAGTGGAGAGAGGTGATGACAGGGAGGGCTGGAGCTGAGGGCCCAGGAGAGGAAGTTCCCGCTCCAAGCTTTGCTTGTATCTTTTCTTTCATGAGAAAAATCTTCGCTTTTGTGTCTGTGAGGTTCTCCGGGTCCTCCTCTGCATTCCAGATAGGCTGGGCCTCCATGGGGCTGAGGAGAGGAGAGGTGACTTCCTCCTTGCCATGGGTGCACTGTAAGCTCTGCTGTGAGGCTCACAGCCTCTTGGGGCTGGGTCATCTTTAAGATTGTTCCCTCTTAATGCCTTTTATCCCTGTGATGAGAGGAAAAAGCAAGGCCCAGGACAGTCTTGAGTACAAGTGGGTTGGATATGCCTGCAGAGGGCCCTGTGGGGAGTGCGTCCCATCATCCTCTCTTCTCCTGTCACCACTACTTCCTCCTGTGTCACTTGGCTCTTCTTTACTGAGTGTGTTCTGAACCTGCCAGGCCAGAGACCTGTGAACTTCTCTACCTGGGCAGGTGAGCAAAGTTCCCTTGCAAGAGGGAAGCAAAGGCCAGGGTTGGGCGTTTGGCCTGGCTGCTAGGATGCACACATTGCACATCTGGATTCCCAGCTCATGCTCCTACCAGTACTGACCCTGGAGGACTCAGTGGCTACATGTCTGTGACCTGCCTGAAGGACTGGATTGACTCCTGGCTCATGCCCCAGCCCCAGCCACAGGCTGCGGCAGGCATCTAGAGACCGAAGTGGAAGGTTGGAGCTCTCCCCTCCTCTCTCTTTCTGTCTCTCTGCTTCTCAAGTAAATAAATAATAAGCAAAGATGATTTATTCCAAGCCTGTATACAGCAAAGGTACCAGCCACCATCTCTTGTGTTTTAGCTGAGACTTAAGGCCGGCAGAGGAGTGGAAAAGCTTTGTAGTAAGGAAGACTTGAGGTACCCTCTGATTGGCAGCTGTTGAGACAAGGAAGTTGCAGGTGGATAATGAGGAGCAAGGCATCCGGTGTGATCATTTAGAGGTGCACCATTGACTTTGGAGTGGAAATGAGGACAAAAATCAGAGAGGCTGTGCATTATTACCTGGTCCTGGCTATTTAGGGCCAATTGTTATATCGGCAATTTTTCAGTCTCTTGGCCTGTTACTAAAGATAGCTGACTTCCTGCAAGTCTGACCTGGAGCCAGTCTGACTCTGACCTCCTGGGCAGGCCATTGTGGACTGTGGTTTGGGTCCAGGCAGGTTGTGGCAGGCTGTAGAATTCTAGTTTTCTGTTTGGTCTGGCCATTGTCTCTCATGGCCGTGATTTCACCTCAAATCAGAGCTTCTCATGGGGCTTGCTCTGGCACAAACACGGGGATGATGTGAGAGCTCATTTCTGCCGGAGTGCTCAGCTCTCGTGGCTGTACCCCAGTTCCTGTGCTATGTGTCATCTCGTTTGATCCTTGCTGCACCAGTATCACTTGGGAATGATGAGGAAACAGGGAGCAAGGCATGGTCCGTAAGAAGTCCCTCTGTCTCTAGGGAAGCAGGTAGATGAATAGACAACCTCATCAGGATGTGGGGCCAGCATGGTGTATGGGAAGCGGGTAGCTGGTAAAGTCACCACCTGCAGTGCTGGCATCCCGTATGAGTACTGGTTCATATCCCAGCAGCTCTGCTTCCAATCCAGCTCCTTGCTAATGCACCTGGGAAGACAGCAAAGGATAGCTCAAGTGCTTAGGACTCTGCACCCATGTAAGAGATACAGAAGATGCTCCTGGCTCTTAGCTTCTGATCAACTCCCTCTGGACACCTGAGGGAGTGAGCTAGCAATGGAAGATCTCTCTCTGGAGGAAGGTGCCAGCCATCCATGAGCACTGGGAGGAAGAGCTGCCTCCTGCCCTGAGCTGGGCTGCTTTGAAGTCTCCGGACTCTCAGGCAGACAAACATGAACACAGGCAGGCCCTGTGTTCCCCACCCTGCCACTGACCACATGTGATCAGGCGGCTTGGGATACTTTAAGACCTAGAAGGGACTGTGTGCAATGTGAATGATGTCTGACAGGGAAGGGCTTGTTTGTTTTAATATTTTATTGACATATTTTTGCTGTTAGATTTAAAAGGTTGAAAGAGGGAAACACAGAGAGCTGGAAGGAGATGTCCAACCACTGGCTTGCTCCCTAGATTCCTGCAACAAACATCCAGAGCCCAGAACTCAAACCGGGTCTCTGACGTATGTGACAGGACCTCCAAGAACTTGGGCTGTCCCCTGCTGTCACCCAGGTTGTGCATTAGCAGGAACCTGGATTGGAAGTGGAGTAGCCAGGCCTGGAGACAGGCGCCCTGAGATGGGATAAGGGCATCCCAAGTAGCCACTATCTGCTGTTTCACACACCTGCCCCTTGGAGGGCTTGTTTCCTGGCAATCTAGGAAAGGAGGGCAGAGAGTGGTCCCCTGGGCACAAGATTTCACAAGGGCAAGTCATCAGTGCCCTCCAGTGCACTGTGTGGCTAAGCTGGGAGGTGGGAAGTTAGGTGGATGAAATGCATTTTCAACTTCTGTTATGCCCTTGGAAAGCATTAGAGAATCACCCAAGTGCTTGGGCCCCTGCGCCCACATGGGAAACCCAGAAGAAGCTCCAGGCTCCCAACTTCAGATCAGCCCAGCTCTGGCCATTGTGGCCGTTTGGGGAATGAACCAGCAGATGGATGATTTCTCTGTCTGTCATGCTGACTTTCAAATAAGTGAAAGAAATCTTAGAGGCAATGTAAGACATTGCCTAAGGTGAAAGCTGTGTTTATCTTTTCATGAGGGATGATGTTGGGAACTTACAGCTTACCTTTAGTCTGTCCTGCACCTAGTTAGGAGTTAGCCTTCCTTCCCAGCCCGACCCCCATCTCGTCGGAATCTACACCTAGGAGCAGGTGTGGCTTTCAGAAGCCTTATCCACTCTTCTGGCCGCCCTGGTCATTGCGGGCACCGCCTGGACAGCCCCTGTCAAAGTGGTGCCAGCACCAAGTGTGATGTTTGGAGGACAGTGATTGCTGCTCGCAGCCTGCCTTTGCCCACGGGGGTGCTTTCAGTCAGGCCCACTGATTGCTCAGGGACAGAGGTCAGAGCCAGGGGCTGATGGAGCCTGGAAGGTGGGTGTTCCTGGAGCTGGCACGGTCCCAGCAGACCGGCTGCATAATTCCTTCAGGCCAGCCTTGTCTGTCCCTTAATGGAATCAGCAGGCTGCCTCTCTGTGCTGGTGTGAATCTCAGGTGTCCAAGGCAGCCTTGGCAGCTGTCCAAGAGAAAGGCCAGCGTGGG